AAAAATTAGATTATATTTTAAAAAATAGGATAAAGAATTCTATGCTTCTCATGTTTGCACATAAGTCCAAAAATCTCATCATATACAACCTTGAAGCAGGACAGCCCCACAAAATTCCTTTTCCTGTCTCTTGCTTTCATTCAGCACCCCCTTCTTCTTGAACATCCACCTACCCAAGAGACATCTTAGCACTAACTGGCATAGCATGCACTATTTACCCGAGCATTCTCTTGATTCTCAGGCTGGATGAACTACAGAAGCAACTACAAGAAGATATACGGCAGGGTCGAGGCATTAAATCTCCAGTTAGAATTGGAGATCAGGACAGTACAGATGATGAGGCCGACCTCTTGGAAGAGCACAGGTAAAGTGTTTTTCTTAACTTACACAGGTAACATTGCTTTACATGGTTTATTTTTGTAAAATGAGTAGGCTGTTGACGGCTGTTAATGTGGTGAGTGGCGTGTGCGAGCTTTGGATCCACCTGTGGTGACGCTGCGATTCAGGCCACAGCCGTGTCCTGCCTTTTCTCACGTTACTGCTTCTTTCTTGAAGACATATTTGGTGGGTGGTAGCATTGATTATTTTTTTCTTTTTTTCTTTTTTTTTTTTCAGTACTGAGGATTGAACTCAGGACCCTGCGCTTGCCAGGCGAGCACTTATTCTCCTGAGCTATCTCCTCGGCCCCTGTAACATTGATTGTTAAGAAGACTTGTACACTCAACTTTTAAGTGTAAACCACATGTACTATAATTATTCAGTATTCAATAACTTTTTTATTTCAGAGAATTTCTAAAGAAATTTTCAGTTACAATTGATGCTATTCCTGATCATCATCCAGGTGAAGAAATATTTAATTTCCTCAATTCTGGAAAAATTTTCAATCAGTATACATTGGATTTAAGAGACTCTGGTTTTATTGGAAAAAGTGCTGTAGAAAAGCTTATTCTCAAGTAAGTAGATCATACACACCTTGCTTTATTGTATATAAAAAAGTTAAGAGGTAGCCAGGCCTGGTGCCACATACCTATAATCCCAGCACTTGAGAGGCTGGAGGAGGGGGGTTGCTGTGAATTTGAGACTGACCTAGACTACAAAGTGAGTTCAAGGGGCTGGAGAGATGGCTCAGTGGTCTAAAGCACCTACTTGAAACAAGCTTGGCAAAGCACAGGGACCGCGGTTCGATCCCCCAGCACCACATGCCAGCCAGCCCCGCCCCGCCCCCTGGTGGGCTGAGCTGGCCACACACACACACACAATAAATAAATGTAATAAATAAAAATAAATAAATATTAAAAAAAAAAAAAAACAACAAAGTGAGTTCAAGACCAGCCCAAACTGCATAATGAGACCTTACCTGAAAAACAACCAGAACAATTAAAAAGCTTTGATTGCCAGGGACAGAATTATGTACTTCTACTCCCAGCTACTTCGGAGACTGAGACAAGAGGATCACAAGTTCATGGCCAGCCTCAAAAAAAAAAGTCTGGGGATGTAGCTCAGTGGCACAGCTCATACATAGTAAGTATGAGGCCCTGGGTTCAATCCTCAGCACCACCCAGAAAGAAGAGAAAAGAAAAAGGAGAAATAATTCTGTCCAGCATAGTCTTCTAAACAGTTACTTCCTACTAGCATCTAGTTTTCTAATCCTTTCGATGCTCTTGCTCTGTGTGTTTTCTTAATAGGTGTGAGGATAGTTACTTAGCACATCTCTTGCTTTTGTTAGGATTAAGAACCATGTGTAACAGCAGTAGCTGTTAGAATGGCAGACTTAAACGAGAAGTAGATTGCTTTCTGATGTGGAGGGACAGAGCTAGGATGTCTGGGCTTGCTGCGGTATTTTTAACCTTACAATCTTCCTTTTTCGTCACTTTTAGCGCTTCACTGCTTCAGTGCTATTGCAGCTCCAGCTTTTATGTGCAGATAACCAGAAATCTCATAGCACATTAGAATTGAGTCGACATAGGCACATTTAGCAACAAGGGCTGCTGAGAAGTAATTTTTATTTCAGGTGGCCAGTGTGCCCAGCTAGCAGTTAGGGTTCAGTTACCACAAGAAAGGCAAAAATTGATGTTTATATGGGCAGCTCATAACTTCAAAGAGGGCGCTCCAACTGAGATGATTTCCGTCCGGGCGTGGTACCTTGGGTCTAGAGAGACCTCCTTAATCCTGACTGAGTCCTCTGAAGGGCACCCCCACCCGGAACGGCAGGTGGCGTGCTGAAACTCAGCACTGCCGGCAAGCACCTCTTTGTCAGCAGCTACATGTGGAGTAGCTGGCATGTTGGCGCACACCCGTGACCCCAGCACTTAGGAAGCTGAGGCAGAAGGACTGCCACAAAGTCTCGAAAGAAAACTGGAGCTAACCCAGCAGATGGAGTGGGCATTCAGCCATCAGTTGCATTTTGTTTTAGGAATAACTCATCTGTGTGAGTATAAAGTCCACATCTGTAGACTGAAGATGATTTTTTCTGCTTATTCCCTGATAATGTTAGGTGTGGTGGTCATGGTGGAAGTGTTTGGCCATGAAGGTAATCATTTGATTTTACTTTTTTTCAGGTCAGGAAAAACAGATCAGATTTTTTTGACAACACAAGGTTTCCTTACCTCTGCTTACCATTACGTTCAGTGTCCCGTGCCTGTGTTAAAGTGGTTGTTTCGGGTAAGAACATACTTTCATTATGAAAAAAATTTGTATATCAAACTTGGCCTCAGGGCCAGGGAGATAGCTCAGTAGAATAAGCGCAAGGGTCTGAGTTCAATCCCCAGTTCTGCCAAAAAAAGAAAGAAAGGGGGCCGGGGAGATGGCTCAGTAGAGTAAGCGCTTCCCTGGCAAGCACAAGGGCCTGAGTTCAATCCCTGGTTCCGAAAAAAAAAAAAAAAAAAAAAGTATAAAAAAAGAAAGAAACCAGCAATGAAAGAGAAAAATTCAGAAACAAAGGTTGTCAAACTTGGCCTCAGTGGGGTAAAGTAAGGCAAAAAGGGTCCACCTGAAGAGTCTGTACAGTGGTGGTAAGACTGTCTGCTAGACAGCCGATAATGCTTAACAAGGGCAGGCCAGACAGCTCAGCAGACTAAAGCACCTGCTTAGGTAGGCGCAAGGACCAGGCTCGATCCCCAATGGTGGGTAGTGCCAGCCCCACCCCCGGGGCACGCTGAGACTGAGACTGGGCACGGTGGATTGCCCCTGTAATCCCAGCACTTAGGAGGCTGAAAATAGGAGGACCACTATGAGTCCAGTCTGTAGTGAGACCCTGTACACCCCTGCAGTAAATACGTAAGAAAATAAATAATGCTTAATACGTCCTGACATTTTTGTCACACTAGTAAGTCACTATGACAGGTAGTTTTAGAAGCAGTCTAATGTTTAAGTACGTAACTTCTTTTTTTTTTTTTTTTTTTTTTTTTTTGGTGGAACCGGGGATTGAACTCAGGCCCTTGTGCTTGCCAGGGAAGCGCTTATTCCACTGAGCCATCTCCCTGGCCCTCGTAATTTCTTTTTAACTTTGCTTTCATATTTATAGGAGTGCCTGTATAGTTTGTCAGGATTTCAATTTAATATTTATTACATATTTTCACGTAAATACAACTGCTTTTCTTCATGTTTACTACTTAAAAGTTATTTTAGTTTTATATAAGTGGTATCTGCCTGTGTGTGTGTGTGTGTGTGTGTGTAAGAGAGAGAGAACTGGGAATTTGGAATTGAACCCAGTTCCTTCACATTGAGCACCATCCCCAGCTCTTTCTGAAATTTGTTTTATTTCAAGACAGCTTTCACCTACCAGGTTGAGCGCTGCAATCCTGCCTTAGCCTTGCCAGGTGCTGGCATACAGGAGTGTGCCTCCACACTCAGGCCGGAGTGGCAACTTGTAAAGATCAGTTGTGGCACATCCCCGTAATCCCAGCACTCGGCAGCACTGAAGCAGAGTGAGGCAGAAGTATCGCGTCAAGTTCGAGGCCAGCCTGGTACATAGTGCAGGGCCACTCTGAACTATGTGATGACAACTTACCCTTCATATTCATGTTTTGAAAACCAAGATAATAAGCCACTTATGAAGTTTTTGTTTTTGGCTTTTTTTTTTTTTTTTTTTTTTT